ATGCTTAGTGTAATTTTTTTTTTAAAGTAAAAATGTGTAGACCTTGGCCTATGCTGGAGTTAGAACCAATTTATTGTAAGAATAACGCTATTCTGACATTGCTGACAATGTTGAAATCCCATCTTCAAAAACGTTTCATAGTCCAGCATATTGGCATCTTTCCAGGCCAGGAACAAAAATAGTTTGCCCAAACTTAGCAATGTGTTGGCAAGCTGTGGCAGTCTTTTCCGGTATATAGAGGATCATGGAATTTGTCAGCGTTTTCCAGGAAATAGGTTATTCCTGTGTTGGCTGAAGGATACTTCATGAAGTCATAACTGTCACATAGGCAGACCACACCCAGGCAGAATAATTGGAAAATCTTTCATTTCTAATTACAGCTGTATACATGTATGATCAGGTGACAAGTTTAAGCAGCAATCGCCCAAAGTATATTTATGAAGTTTAAGATAAATTGTTTGCATCATTATGAAGAGGGATCACATCCCTGGCCAATTCAGAAGATTTTGAACCACTAATATTCAGCAGAAATTCCTGAATAATTTGTCTCCAGAAATCCATTTGCTCATATCGCCACTTCATGTCATTTGAAATCCCCGGAAATTTAATTTTAGTGGAACGAAACAATTTCCTTTGGGTTCTGTGAATGTGCCATTTCTGGAGCCAGATGGAAGCGTGGAAAGTTATAGCACTAGAATTGATGGACTATTGGACTGAAGGCAGTAGCATATCCAGCTTTTGATGTAGGGGAGGGGAAAGGGCAGCCGCACAGAAATGTAGGCAAGTTTTTTTCTCCTGACACTTAATGGTGGGCGCTCTTCAAAACTGACCATTATTGTGCATACCGGAAAATCTATGCCGATTTTCACGGCGCCATTGTAATGGTTTTTTGGGCTGGTTTTCTTTTTTTAGGTTTTTGTCAGAACTCTAACCATTTATGGAATTACTTCCTAAAACATAATCTTTCAAACAAATCTGCAAGGGGGGGGCCCAAGTTCCCCTCTGCCCTCCCCCCCCCCACCCCCTCTGGATACGCCACTGACTGAAGGCAAAGCATTCATCACCTCAGTATTAACAACAGGAACGGGATGTGAAGTTACCTCAATGTATTTGCTGAAGACTGCATGAAAAACTTTGGAAAGTGACACTGTTGAACAGTCTGTTGTACAGATGGAACAAAGTGCAGTAAAAGTCGGTTGACATGTATGCATACATGTATTGTACATGATTTAAATACCATCTTGAACATTAGTCCAGTTGAGATTCTTGAACTTTGCCTGTCTACATATGTACATGTAGGCCTATGTCTTCAAATATATTGTTTTGTTTTTTTTGTTGACTCTGGCATTTTGAGCAGTACACCCTTAAAGGTTAAGGAGAATTGGGATATTCAAGTGCTTTATGCCGTCATGCCTGATGCTCATGCTAAAAAGCCATTGTGCACATTGAGAATAAATGAAGTCGTGCTTCGGCCAAAAAAAAATAAAGTCTCCAGTTTCTGGTCTGCGCGCATTCGCCATAGCCATGCGCGTCAGCAAAATTAAAATGTGTTGGTTTTTTTTTTTATGTAAAATGATGTCTCAAAACCACCAAACTCACTGGTTTGATTAGAATCCTGCTGCTTCACGATTTTTAGATGGGGTTACCATCGAGTATAAGCTTTATGTACAATGAAGCCTCCCTGGGCTCCCATATATTTTGCACTAAATTTAGTCGGGCACCATTTGTAGACGGTGGTGTAATTTTGTAATTTTGTGCATCTGTAAGCCAGACTGAGGGAGCGATGGTCGTGTGTCTGGAACCTGTAAACGCTTTTTAATTGGCGCGATATGTAAGGGAGCAGACTAATGACAAGCCTGGCAGCATGATGTCGATGTCGCGCGCTGTATGCTCTGATGTTACCCTTTTCTCTAAGTTTTCTTTTAACTATCCAAATTTCCCGAAGACTGTTCATGTTGGTCGAGATCGCAAGTTGGTGCAGAATTCTCAAGCCTTATGGCGCCACTTAATTACTGAGGTCACGTCAAGCTCCACCCTGAAGGATATTATTGAGAGTTTTAAGGGTATGGAAGCGTCATCTGCAATATCATATTTAATGAAAAGAAAAGTAGGGGAAAAGGAAATAAAGAAAACGTGTCGCCGCACTACTTTTGGGGCAAGTTCCATATCAGAAACCAGAGACTTACATGTATCTTTTTTGGCCGTGCATGTACCGTACATGTACTTCAGGCTATACGCGACGAACCAAACTGCACACTTGGTGTGCCCCTCCCACTGGTGTTCATGAATGTGGTCACAAAATGCCATCTTCTGTTCTCATTACAGTAACTTTCTAGTTCACTTGTGTGGTATCACTACTCCTATGCCTAATGAAATGTCTCCCATTTCCCTGTTGGGTAATGGGAGTTTTAAGGTAGCATTCAGGACTGAACCTGATGCCAGCATGCAGCCAAGTTTCTCCCCTTGTGTCCATGCCTGTCGCCTACCTGTCTCTCACATACCGGTACTTCGGGGAAAAGCACAACAGACTCATATTGCAATTAATTTTTTTTTAAGTGAGCTAGGCGGCCAGCCTTTTCCGCTTTTATCCAGATATTTCAGATACCAAACACACTCCCAAGAGCCTGCACTCAGAGACTTTTTTTTGTCTGGCAATGCCTCCCCTCGTTTTCATCAGAATGTTGCTCATTTAGTACCCGACGAGTGACAAATCTCTTCAAAATATTTACAAGAATGTGGATATTTGCAGCGCTCCGGATTTGATTTATCCGACAGTTTATTTGACTTAAAGTTTGATCTTATGCACACACACAGAGACACACTCTCTGGGGCACTATGGCTTTTACCTCGTTAAGGGTCGTGCACTATTAGATGCTAGACCTGTCTCGGTGATTTTGTTTAATGATTTGTATAAATTTTTCATTAATTTGCCCATGTGTCAATTGGTCAGGCTCTTGTTGGAGTGGAATTTTGATTAAAAGACTGCCAGCGTCAGAATGAGGAGGATAAATTGAATTGATGGGCCAACCTCAAGGATTGAAGGGTGTTGTCATCAGTAGTTCACCGCCCAGATTTCTTTCGTTACATGTACTTGTATACATTTTGTCAAAGCAATAACCCGTAATGGGCACTTCCATGGTAACTCACCTTACATTTGGAGGGGGTTTTCCATCAATTAGGTGCTGTTATTCTATTAAGTCAGAGAACTGAGGGTGGATTTTTCTCACGGAAGATCCCTTGAAACTAAGTGATTTATTACTGATTAATTAATCGGTAAAAGTCACAAAATCTCTAGAGCGATATAGTTCAATACTTAAGTTATGGTAACTCACGTTACAGTTCGTCTGCCCATGTTTGGTACAAGTTAAAACATGTAAGAAACTAAAAATCAAAAAAAAATTCTTTTTGCACAAAATATGAACCTTCTTCACAATATGAAACTCTACAGTGTAAGGTTTTTTTCACACTGTAAGAAGGAACATTTTGGGGAAATGCTATAATGAAGTAGAGCAAGTTACATGTACTTTGTTTGGTTTTTAAAAAAAAGTATTAGAAGAAAATTACTTACCAATTTCTTTTCAAAAGAAGGACAGTCAACATGTTTTAGGCTGTTTTTTTTGTTATACATAACAAAAAAACACATGTGTGAATTGGTTACATGTTAACCAGCTTACATTGGATGTGGTGTATACACCAAAGGTTTTGCAGTATTTGAAACGGATGATAGATAAACACGCTAAGAGTGAGGCCGGAAATATCTGTCTGCAACCTGATCGTAGCGAGCGAGGCCGGAAATTTCATGGTGTGCTACCCGCAGATGGCTGCCTGAACCCGTCTGGCATCGTGGTTTGTGAAAAAACAATCCTGCGCCTGGGTCTGGTCAATGTCAAAATAGCCCCCCCATGAAACGTTGTCGCCCCCCCAGTCGCCCCTCCACTGAAATTTTGAGTTTCTAAAAAAAAATTCATTGACCTTCATGACGCCCCCCCCCATGAAATGTTCCAGCGCCCCCCCCCCCCCCCCCCCCCCCCCCCACTGAAAAATTCCTGGCTACGCCACTGCTAATAGGTATGCTTATCTTCATGTGTTTTCCCCTTGGACCTGTGAATGAACACAAGAACATGGAGAAAGTGCAAAGATGTGCCATAGTTTCTCATTGCCAGTTAAAAGTTGTGTAGAAATAAAATAATTGTAAAGACTTTGATACCCCATTGCGACGTACAAGTGCTATACAATGCCTGCTATTATTACTATTATTATAACTTTTAGAGACTTGAGATTGGAGTACAATTTATATGTCTTCATGTGAAAAAAAGAAATTCTGTGAACGCAACTTTTGAAGAGCATACTGACTTTGGACAGTTAAAGGAAAGCATTCCTTTCACCTATACATTTTTTTGTACATGCACATATATTGGTACACCAAAAAACTGTGGAAAATATGTACACATCGTCATCTGTGACAGCCCTCCTTCCCCCCCCCCCTGAATTTAAAACCAAAGTTGAGGACTTCAGTATAACAGGATTGCTCTGTGGGTTAACCCGCCTATGCAAACATACATTTGTACATTCTGTGCCAAGTTGTCCTTTCAGTCAAAATCAATCAAGTGACTGTTTTCAACAGTTACGAGCTCCCACGTTACATAAAGCAGGATTGACTAGCTGTGACTGTTCAACTTACATGTAATACAGCTGTGCTTTGACTGTAGGTGGTTGATAAGCCAGCTGTGCCTACCACTTGCCTGTATTTTTCTGATGACTGAATTTGACTTGTCACAGTGCTTGCTTGAAATACTATCTGACTGTTGATAGCTAGCCTATGTAAAAGGCATGGCAGGTGAAGAGGATTGATTTTTTTGGACTGTCTGTGACTGTTCAGATAGCTGGAGGGTTAACATGCTGTTTATTTCATGATGGCCCCACGATATAAAGTGTAGTGTCTTTTTAAGTAAAAGAAGTTTCATTCCAAAGGATTTTGTCCAATTTTATTCCCTCTACAGGACCAAGTGGCCTACACAGCTCAGACTTTGCTTCGAGTGCTGAGTCATGGTGGATACAAACAGATTCTAGGAACGGAAGGCAATGCTTGTGAGTAAAAACTAGAAATGTGGTCCATTCAACCAAACTAATAGAATCACTACAGTGTAACCTTCGGAATCCTACATGTATGAGCTTTCCTGCCAGACATGAGAATGAGAGGTTGCTGTTGCTAATTGTTAAGATGAGAGTCTTACATCTGAACGGGCGAAACAAAAGTGCAATTCTTCAGAATCCTCAAACAGGTTTATGATATTTCCATTTTTTAGTAGGCCTATGTTAGGGGCCAAAAACTATCAGTGTTTTTAAATTTCGAAAATGTGGGTGGGTGGGTCAAGGAAAATAATTTGAAAATCTAATTTCACTTTTCTAATATTAATATAAAAAAAAGAAGGAAAATAAAACCTCTTTAACTTGCCTGTATCATTGAATTTACATCTCCAGATGCAAATTTCATCCTATAAAATGTAGCATGTTTTGTAACTGTGGTTAGGCAGATTGTACATGTTTCAGTCAGAGTCCTTGCATTGTGCCTCATATCCCAAAACCCATTTCACAATGATAATGAGATGGTACACCAAAAGAGTTAAGGTGTCTCCAATTTTCTTTTTGAAGTAAAGTTTGTTTATTAGGCCTGTACATTACATCATGGGCCTTTTTATATTGAAACCTGGATATGTTCAAAAATGTGAGATCATGAATTATTCGTGAATTATGTCCCGATTTGTATTCCCTTGCAGCCCTGTGCTTGATATTTGAATTTCTTTGTAAAATGGGAGAAATTTGTAGCAAACGTGAGCTTCTATGGAAGAAATTGTTTTGATTTATGTCATTTATGGCTCCCATAGCGAGAAGTAGAGTCTGATGATGCAGCACATGCAAAGAAAACCAGAAGTTTTCATTTGTCCAGTTAACTGCAACACTCACACTGATTGGCCAAAAGTGACTTGTTTTGGGCCTACAGTAATTTCCCTACTGGCCTACATGCACATCAACGCCGGCCATACGGCAGTCTACTGGGCGGTATTACATTAGTGCATAATCACACAGATACATTTACGACTCCTGCAGGGGATTTATTGTAACTCAAGGAAAACTTGCAAATATAGCTGTCTACACAGGAGACTACATGTAGAGCCATCCCATATTCAAGGATTCCTTTATGGTCTAGAATAATAGTTATCTTGACTGTTTTTGATTGCTGGCAGTTTAGATTTTTAAAATTGCATCAAGGCTTAATACTCTAGAGATCCTGCATGGTTCCTAAAAGTCACTCTTAAAGAGCAATTGCTGGAATTACCTTATAAATCAAGCGAATTCATTTATTACTTTTTTTGACCCACAAGAGCATTTGTTGCAGAAGAGGATGAACTCCTGATTGACGGTGGAGAGAACAAATAGTATCGGATTGCCCCAATTGTAAATGTCAAAGGGTTTGCTAACCAACAGGGAAATACCGAATAAATTGATTGTGAAAGTGCATCGTCGTAAAATTTAAACAGTAATAGTAGCTTCAGTCGAAAGAAAAAGCTAAAAGTCAATCACAGTGGGAGGTTTGGGGAATACACCCCAACCCGACCCTCCTGTGCCCTGTGGGTGCCAACTGTGTCACCCATGAGAAACAAGAAAGCTTTTATTTTGGGTTGCTTAGCGCACAAACAGACAACTCGCACTGCAAGAGACTGGTTCCTGGGCCCTGCTCTATCCATTCTTAAACTAAAGGGGGAGGGGTTGGAACCAGTCTACCCGGAGCGAACTTAATTAATTTCAGTTCACAGTTAAACTATAATTCAAACTTTGTAAACTAATTATTCTTTAACTAAACATGAGCCAAATTTTGCGTTTAATGTCTTATTAAAAAGTAAATTAATATTTCTTTGCAAGAAAAATAGCACTTAAAAATTTCTATTTTGGGGGGCTGAATATATATATATATATTTATAGCATGTTCAGTTCATCTTTAAAATAGGTCAAAATTATTTCAGCATATCTTCTTGTTTTGCTGGGCAAAATTAGTGATGGGAGAAAACAGAGATTTAAAAATCTGGTTCTATTTTTTTCAAACCGAATAACACTTAGCTGATTTCTTTTAAGTTCCAATTCAGCCTACAGTCATGCCAACAAAAAGTGACAAGTGACAAAATAAGCTTGTGCAGTAGCGGATCTAAGGGGGGGGGAGACCCCCTGCCCCCCCCCCCCCCCCCCTTAAGCTGCTGACTAATGTTATGAAACTATTAAAATGGGGCCACAAATAATGAATGGAGTGCTAAAGTTCCATTTGCCTTTGACACGCCTTCACTCAAACCCCCCCCCCCCTTCCACCTTCATATCACCCCCCCCCCCCCCCTTTCTGAAAGCTAGATCAGCCCCTGTTGTGTCACAGAAAATTGAAGGCTTTTAAGGTTGAAATTTGCTTAAGCTTGCTTTCAAAAATGCGGTTTCTTAAATGTGGATTGCACATTACCATCGTGAACATTACCATCGGGAACGTACGTGTACATGAACACACTTCATACATGTAGTACTGTCTTTAGACATCCTTGGTTGGAAATCATGATAAATTCGATGTGATGGACATTTTCAATCATAGACTTTGGCAGTTTTTTACATTTTGTTTTGGTGCATACACTTTACTGTATGGGAATTTCTCACAAAGGGTGCCTCAACATGTAAGCCTGTTTATTTGCTGTAAGATTTTTCGGGTGTTTAAATTGTTTAGAATGTCGCCCGGACTAATCTTTCAAACAGGACTGTCTTGACAATTAATTACGAGGCTCCGTGACACTTTGCTTACATTGGTCACAAGGATATCCTTGCTTTTTCCTTAAGGTTGGGGGTTTTACATGTAGTTTTGTCAGCTAATTGATTACAACTGCAAGCTGACGTGTGTTTTGAAATGTTATGATCTGTCGCCAGGATTGTCATTGGATTGCCAGCATTGAGTATATTTGTGTTTCCAATGTTTGGCCTGTATGTTTTATTTATTTTTTCTTTGGGAATGAGACAGAGTTTTACAATGCAGTTTGTATTTACCTGGGTTATGCAGTACAGTGGTAAAGTCTGTCTTGAGTCAATATGGCTCATCGCACCAGCATTTACATACATGTATCTCCCGTTTCCTTAGCATGAAATGACTGCCAACATTTCTGTTCCCCCTGGATGGGATGCTAGTCCATCGCAGGTTACTCCCCAGCTAATGCCGGTACCCATTTACACTCCTGGATGGAGAGAGGCAAATGGGGTGAACTGGCTTGCCCAAGGACATGACCAGCAGGTGGATTTGAACCCCTTACCCTCTGATCATGAGTCACAAGCCCTAATACTTAGGCCACACTCCCCATTTATGCAGCAGTACACAAATATACGTGTTCATGTAATATTAATATTGAAACTGGATCCAAATTGTTTACATCTGCAGTTATTATCTTTTAGTGTATATTTTCCCTTGATTTGATATTTTCCCCAACATCCATTTTGGCTTAGCCGAAGCGTGCAAACCTATAGGTGTCACACATTTATACCTTTGTTCAAGGGAATAAACTCCACTTCAATTTTCTGGAGTTGTTGAGTCATTGATTTAAGCTTGATTTTCAATAGCTTCCGGCTCTGACAAATGTAATAAACTTGTTTCCATGACATCGCATTGTGTGCTTCAATACAGGAAAATTCCAAATTTCATTAATATTCCCTCACATTGTCTGGTACATTGTGTGTGTGTGTGTGTGTGTGTAGTACACATAGTTCAATTTAATCAATACATTTCTTTCTCCGTTTTTGTCTGTGTTCTGTTTCTGTTCCAATCTTGTTGGCCCTTAGGAATTACATATTAAGTTATTTTGTGATTAACAGTTTTTTTGCAAAAAGAATTGAATCATGCAAGGTCTTATGCCTTGTGTCGAATAGCAGTACTGTACACTTTCTAGGTCAATGTGATAATTCTGTTCAAGTGTCTACAAATTGTTTGAAATAATTCAAACTCTGGTTGCGTGTTGGAGAGAAATTTGAATACGTTTTGTTTGTTGATAGTAGACTGAACCTGTAACAGTGAATTACAATGCTTACAACGACGACCATGTACACTGAACCGCTTGCATGCATCTGTTCTACACACTATCATTTCCCCCTGCACATTGAACATGTTCCAATGCGTGGCATGGTACTCCAGCTTGACATTTTTTTTCTCTTAATGTCCACATTCTATTGAGTCAATTTAGTTTTGGTTATACACACAAATCTGATGACCAAAATGCTTAACTTTTTAACTTTTTTCCTTTTTAAGCTGAGTTAACATGCAGTCTACATGTAGTCTGTATATTATTTTTCAAGAGGAGGGACAGTACTTTAAAGATCAGCCACATTAATGTGGCAAACATCGACTAATTTCGAAGATTACGTATATTTGAACAATCTACAACATCATAAATTAAATGAGAGGAGTTTCTGCCGTAAAAACTAAACGTTAAAAAGCTGCCCCGCCCCTACTGCTAAAAGCCAGAGTGTAAAATAGCATCAATGAGAACAGCAAACAGAAAAGGGCCGTTTTCTTACATCAAGGTATGGCTGTAGCATTCCCACAAAAAATCAAAGCTGCTTGGCCTGTATTGGTTTTTCACAGCATTAAATATACTCGATGCATGGATGCTGCTTTTGTCGTTGAATTCTCAAGCTTCCCAACGTTTTATTAATTCTGCCAGAGAGAAGATCTTTGTAAAAACTGTGACTCTCTCCTCCTTTGTTATTCTTCAAAACTAGACGCGCCGTGAGACAATAGGCCTAAATTGTTTTAATTGATGAGTGAATCGTAAATCGAAAGTTGTGAAATGCATTCACTCTGTGCACGTACAAGTATGACACAAAACAGGCATTTGATTGTAGAGTCGTACCTTGAAGTCATCAAAATGGGCTTGTAGCAGATGCTCCCGATAGCTTTTGCTTTCTTTCTGGTTTGTAGCAGAACTTTTTAAGTTTAATTTTACAGCTGAAACTCCCCTTACTTAATTTTTTGATGTTGTAGACTGTTTCAAGTTAGATATACCGGTAGTCTTCAACAT